GTTAATTATCTTTACTGCAGGTCTCATTGCAACGAAAACACCTCGCGTGCGTAATTTGAGAGTAATAAAGAAAGAGACCTTGAAGTTGATGGAAGTTTACATAACTAAGTCTGAAGAAACAAGTCAAATCATAACTCATTTAATGCCACCATTGTTATCAGCAGTTCTTATCGATTACAATAATAATGTTGAACAGGCAAGGGATGCTGAGGTCTTAAGTTCGATGGCGAATATTATAGCAAAATTGGGAGTGAGTCATCTCAATGTTTTTTTTTTCAAAAAATATTTTGCCTTATTTTATATCTTATAATAACTAATATTTTTATGTATTTAGCCCGGAATCACGAATGAAGTCCCGGCAATTCTTAATGCTGTATTCGAATGTACGTTGAATATGATAAACAAAGACTTCTCAGAATATCCTGAACATCGTGTAGGGTTCTTCAAATTGCTTCGAGCCATTAACCAACACTGTTTTCCAGGTATTTAATAATTTTATATCTATTTGTTTCTATTAACAATTTTGTATCGAACTGCTAATAATTATTTTTGTTGCAGCACTTTTAACTTTACCGCCAGCTCAATTTAAACTTATTATGGATAGCATTGTTTGGGCATTTAAACACACAATGCGGGATATTGCTGACACGGGTCTTAATATATGTTTAGAGTTGATAAATAATATTTGTATGCAAGATCCCGCTACTGCCAACATGTTTTATCAACAATATTTCCTTACTCTAGTAGCAGATGTGTTGTTCGTCTTGGCGGATACAGATCATAAGAGTGGTACGTTCTTACGTATATTTATACAATGATCACTTGATAGTATAGTTTATTTAATAATTTCTGTGTTTTATTTTTAAAAGGATTTAAAATGCAGTGTAGTGTTCTTCAGCGAATGTTCAACCTTGTTGAAACTGGTGCGGTACAATCTCCATTGTTTAATCCTACTGAAGTTTCAGACCCCAACATGACAAATCAACGGTTTTTGAGAGAATATGTGATGAATATATTGCATAATGCATTTCCTCATTTGCAAAGGTTTGAATAAATTTAATTTTTTTCTTTTTTTTAAAAAATAAAGTATTCACACCCAAATCACTTCAAATGTGTAGTGTTCAGGTTCATTCCTTTGTAATAGGGCTTTTTGAACTCAATCAAGACACCACTAAATTCAAACTACACTTGCGTGATTTCCTAATCCAGCTTAAAGAATTTGCTGGTGACAACGCTGATTTATATCTCGAAGAACGTGAGGCGGAAGCAGAACAACGAAAGAAAACTGAGATGGAGAATGCTTTGAAGATTCCGGGTCTTGTTAAACCTTCAGACCTACCGATGGAAGATGAATAATCAGTAGTGTGATCATGGGAATCATAACAGTATTAAGAACCGTTTTAGGTTATTTCTCGTAAGAATAAAGGGTGGTTAAGTTTATCCTGTTTGGCTAGAATTTGCGGTATTATGATTGTGATCTATTCAAATTTTTGATATAATAAATTTGTAATATACGAGTAATATTATAATTGTTAATCAAATATTGATTTACCAAATGTAAAGACTCGCTTTATTAATAATACAAGATAAATCAGAAATCATCTAGTTATTAATATAATGATGTAATCTATAACGGTCTTGAAATTAAATGATTTGATCAATAATAGATCACGTAATATTTACTAAATAAAAGTTTAATTAAAAACTGAATTTTTTAACCTTATACAGTCAACTCTTCCCCTTGGGAGCATAGTGAAAAATTTTAAAAGTGTGCATTTAAAGAGGATGTGCATTTAAAGAGAAAAATTTTTTATTTCTATATATTTGGGACTAAATTTAGAGTGAAAATTTATAGTGTATGAATTTTCAGGAATAATATAATTGAGACTTATAACTTTATTACTATTATTGTAGGTAATCATTTTGCTTTCTTATAAATTAGAACTCATAATGAAAAATTTTACTTCATATAAGCATAACTTTTGAAATGTATATACCTTTGACCTTATTTTTTTACATAATGATTGGCTAAACTTTACATATTCTACATACTTTATATCTTGCTAAAAAATATAAAAAAGTAATTAATATTATCATAAAATATCAAGAAAACTATAAAAGTATATATGTATAAAATCTTTATACATTTTTACATAAAGATCTTTTTTGCAAAATGTAAAGTTAGACTAATACCTGATAAACTTAAAATTGTGAATCCTTAATCTTTTATAATATATTGATTTTATTATCACTATTTATTTATAGGATGAATCCTATACTGCAATTAAGTTTCATTTCATAATTTTTTCATATTTATTTAAGAAAAAATTTGTTAATATGGCTTTTCAAATAGATATATGAGAAATATTTTATCATATAAACCTTTTTTATATGATTATTAGTAATCTATTTGATTTAGCAAAAAAATACTGACTTATAATCATCACTTTGAACTAGTTAATATGAAATTATAAGCTTTATTTTTAAGTAGTATTTCATAATTACTAAGTCTCTTACTAAAGAATCTAATATAAATTTTGATTTTGATAATATAATTTTTTCTGATATATATATAATAATTTCTATATCTGATAAACTAGATTTTCTAAATAATTTAAGATTTACTTCTTTTTCTTATATATCATTTTTATAAAAATTGTAAAGTTTATAAAATGAAAAAATTTTAAAAGATATGATATTCTCTTTATCAGAAAATAAAAAAAATTATATATACCTAATAAATTATCAGATCCTATTATGTTCTTTATATTAGATAGCTTCTCTTTTTATTTTAATGATAGCAAATCATTTTTTTTTAAGTTCTAAATTTAAGAAAGATAGATGTGATTCTGACTAATTAATTGTATTTCTTTTTTAATGATTTTCATAATATATTAATTGTTTATTATAGTATATATTTAATCAAAAAAATAAATTGCTATTTTTTAACAAATATAATGCAGGACACTTAAAGACTAAAATCACGTGATTTGTCCTATTTTCAAAATTCTTAAAAATTACGTGACTGGTATAATTATATCACGTGATAAGCGAAATAATAGTAAAATAAATTTAAATACTGTATTAATTGATTAAGTTTAATACATGATATATTAATAAATTTAATGCATAATTTATTGATAAATTTAATTGATTAAGTTTTTAAATTTAATGCATGATTGATAAATTTAATAGATTAAATTTTTAAATTTAACACATAATTGATAAATTTATTGATTTAATACTACAAATTAAAAATTATTTTCCTATTTTATTACTCTTTCTCACAACTCTTTTTTTTTATAAATGCAGTTAAATTGTCTTGCAGAATCTGCCTATATAATTTAAACTGTTTACATGCATACTCAGCTAACTTTTCTGTTAGTTTTTCACAATACAATTGCATGTATTTCCATAATTTTTGAGCATACTTCTAATTGTAGTAATATTCACTGAATCAAGCGCTTGTGAAATGGTTTTTTGTAAGCTACTCCATGTATAATCACAGTGATCCCTTGTATAATACTTGGCCGCACTCTAGTACATTTTGATAAAATTAAGTTCGCAATGGAATTTCAGATAAAAAACACATAAATGGCCTGCATTCTTAATTACTTCTACAATGGCTAACTTTTATGCTACAAAATCTGATTGAGATGCCATAATCTTTCTTGCACAATAATCAACTTTCTGAGATTCTTTCTTTTTACACATTGAATACTTTAAACTTAATTCCTTCTTCCATAAACCTTTTTCTTGTAATATTTTTTTTATCCCTTTTGATTTTTCTCGCAAAGCAAGATTAGAATAATCTTCTGAAAATATCATTTGTTGAATTATCTCTTGTCTATCCTTATCAATAAAAGAGGTTGACCTCATGATAAGCTGTTTTTTTCCAGAACTCAAATTTATTCTTGCTGCAATAAGAGCATCTTTGGCATATGCTGCATGGTTTGTACTATTCTCAAAGGCAAAAATAGCTGTTACATTAGGAAATTTAGCCTTAAAAATAGGAATTGCTTTGGATTTAATCTGCTCTAACAAATGCTTAAAAGTCTAATAGCCTTTCTGATTCTTGTCAGATAATAGATAATAACAAGCTTCTGTAGGAATATCCAGGTTTCTTGCTGCCTCTTCTTCACTAAGTTTCAATTGATCACAAGTCTCTGAAAAAAATTTGCTTACCATAATCAATTTTTTATTTCCTTTCTTTCGCAATAGCATTTCACCATCAGCTACCCAAATTTTTTTTTTCCATCATTTGTATAGAAGATACATTTATCATGAGTAATAAGAATTAGCTCTTGTTCTCCTAATCTAAGTACTGGTGGAATTGCTTCCATTTCTTCTCCTTCATACCTTGCCATTTGTTATTCCAATTCTTTCATTATTTCCAAAAATTCTTTCCGATATGTAATAACATCTTCTCATTCATGTCTATCAAGATAAATACTCTTTCGATATCCTTCATATTGGTATCCTAAGATATGTAACTATCTTTCAGTGGTTTTCATACTGATTGTTTTCCAGGTTCCTGTATGTTCAGGTAAAATAAAATCTTTAATATACTGCTTAAAATGAGCTACATCAATATTATTTGAACCCGATTCTTATCATAACCATTATCATAAACTCAATGCAACATCTTCATCATCGATAAGTTAATAATATTTTTGATGTTTACCACAGCATAAAACTAGAAATAATTGGTAATTTAAGTAAAATTTGGCTAAAAAACAAATCCA